GTTCGTTTACGTTTAGTTTTAACGTTAGTAGTCGTCCTCTCGTATAGTTAGTGTCGTCGTAGTAGTAGTAGTAGTAGTAGTATATATATTATTACTCTCTCTCTCTCTCTCTCTCTCTCTCTCTCTCTCTCTCTCTCTCTCTCTTTCTCTCGGTTTATTTGTTAAATAATGAGTGAAAACTTTGATGCAATCATTTTGGACATGGATGTTTGAAATTTTAACTTTGAAAGTAAAGGTAATATGAGTTAACTGTTTGCCAAGACCAGTTCATGTTTCTTGGGAGCATTTCTATGATGATGAGTTATGACGACTCTATCTTTAAACATAAACAGATCTTTGGCAAAGGGGGTTATCATTGTATTACCTGAGCAGGTATTCCTTATTTCCTTTGCTTACAATCTGCATGCATGTTCTTTAATGACAATCAACAGAAGTTTTGTGGTAGTGCAATTGTGAGTGAGGCATATAACTGGCATCAGGTTTGAAGAAGGGGCCAAGCAATTTCGGCTAGATGTTGCTAAAAACCCAAATGATACAGAAGAGTCAATATGGTGTTTCCTCTGTGAAGCTCAATTATGTGGACCTGATGAAGCCCGGAGGTGCTTTCTAGAGGCAAGTAACTATTATTCGCTTGTTTGCTTAGTAGTACATGTGAGAGTCCATTTCAAATTCCTCGTTGGTTATTAATCTAGAAAGGTCCAATTTGAGATGTTGAACCATCACAGTTTCTGTCATTGATTGTCATAAGAAGGCATGAAGTTTCTAGCTGATGACTACACATGCACCTTAATTTTCTTATTAGTTGGTATTGATGTTTTTTATTTATTCTGTGTAAGTGTATTGTGCTATTTATTTCATTACTTGTATACCAACTTGTATATCTTTACCAAAAGAAGAATCTTATACTGATTTCAATTTGAACTGAAAAAAGAAAGTTCTATATTATAAAAGAAAACAAATTTTCAATTACGAGTTTTCCTCAAATTGTTTTTTGGCTGTTGATTTGATAGTAACAAAATAGATTGCAGAGCATTATTCTTAAGTGTTATAAGTTAATCCAAACCTGAATCGTTCAAGCTATATATCACTGGCCCAACCAATATATCTAGGAGGAAGAGACTAGTTGGGAGCATTTTAATAGATCACTTCGGGATCGGCTTTCTATCTCGGAAAATTACACCACAAGTGAAATCTGCAAGGGAGCAAGAAAAGGGGGGTTTTCTTGTATTAATTGAATAATTGAACTCAATAGATTCGGTATTGGCTTGTCATAGATGTCCATACAGTCAAAAGTACCAACCTTGGTAGGTTCGACTTGGGTGTTGTCTTCACAAAGTAGTATAATGTGCATGACTCTTATACTCCAAAATGGTGCCTTCCGTTTTACCAGATACGTTTTTGGAGTTTCATTCGAACAAATTAAAATTGCAAAGCAAGAAGCCAAATGTCTAACTCATACTTCACTACTGCCCCCTAAACACATAACCCACCCATGCTCCATAGTTGAAACTACTGGCATACCAAAATGCAGCCACTTGGCCATCACTTTCTTAAACTCTCTATTTCCAGCTGTTCTTCATCCTGGCCTTGTTAATGCTTTCCAAGTTGTCCTTTGATTCTGTTTTCTCTTGCTTGGCATTGTGTTTCTTGGCTCTCCCTTGTCTTCTTCTATTACCACCTGCTTTTTCAAGTTTTAGAAATATAATCCCATATGTAAAGCTCACACTTTTTATTATCCTTTTTAGGTGTAATTCTGTTCATAAATGTCGAAATTGAGTTCACAATTTTGGAAAGAACCTCTTCTTGTGGCTATAAGAGCACGCCTTGACTTCCTCCCGCCAATTTTCCTTAATTTTTGTAATTATAAAATAAAATGATTTTGTCCATCTCTTTGCACGACAATAACATTCCTATTGGACCCCTCTGCATATGTGTGTGTGTGTGTGTGTGTGTGTGATGCGTTTGAACATTTTCTATGCTTACAACCTTCGAGGGCTTGCAACAAATGTATCTATGTGATGAACACATTCCAAAAGCCTCATTTATCGGGTTGTCCTAATCAAGGAAATAAATCCCTCTTCTCACCTGCATGCTATTAGGGAAGTGCGAGGGAGTTTGGTATGGTTTAAGTTCCATGGTTTTCATTTCAAGGGCTTCCTCTCTTATTTGGATGGTTGGATCTCCTTCAAAATCATGCCAATTCATAGCAAGATTCTTAGGGTGACTGTTCTGTCGATTATCTACTTTTGGATTATGTGCAGGTTGCTCGAGATCCAAGACCTGTAATGCGTGAAGCCTATACTATGTTTAAGGATGGTGGGGATCCAGATAAGGTGTGTGTATGAAACTTTGTTAGACTTGTCTCTGTTATTGTTAAAAAAGGGTTCATTGGATTACTGAAGTACTTCTAATTCACAATCTCATCTCTTCACCGATCATCTCTTGGTACAATGGCCTAAAAATTGTTGGCCTCTGTAGCTACTTTGTTTTTTTACTTCTGTTATCACAATTTTGAGCCTTCTGTGATATATCTTCAAAATTGTAGATGTCTTATTGCAGTCATTCACACTAAGTTGTTAAGCATGAAACTTTTTGGCTTTTTTCAGCCCCTTACACCATATGCATTTTAGATGATGGCCTTTATGCCTGAATGTAGGTAAACTTGTCAGTCTCGAACCTGCATCAGTCTTTTTGATTATCCATACCTTGAAAAGTGCGATTCAGTTTATGTTTGTCTGTGCACATGCTCACATACTATAAACAAAACATTCATGCAATGTCTCAAAATTATGTGTTTTACATCTAAGTTATATGTCTGTTATCTCATTGGCCTCTCTTAGGAAAAGACAAAAGGAGAGGCTCAATGCATTATTGGGTTGGAAAATCTCCAAAATAACATCTCCATCACATCTTACTCATCTGATGACATTTATCAAGTCACGTTGTGTTTATCTTTTACCTGCCTTGCTTCCCATATTACGGTCAATGGCAAGTCAACATAATTCATTGGCTCTTTCTGTACTTGGGTCTTGGCTAGATTGTCTTGGCTAGTCACAAAATTGAGTTAGAAAACTTAGAAACTTGGATTTGTGAAAAAATGAACATATGTCCCATAAGTTTTCACATCTTATTTACTGGATGACCCTCTCTCACTTGTGGCCTAAAAATGTTGCTTAGTAAATTCTATGTCCAAATGCATGTCTTTTGTTCTTAGTCCAACTTATTGATGTACAAGGATATACAATTCTTGATTCATTATTTCAATTATCTGTTATTGTCTCAGTTGTGCCTATTTGGAATGGTATTTTAACCTCACATCTTAGATGCCTCTTTGCAGCAGTTCACATGCTTAGTGGTTCATCAAGAATTGACAAAAATGATGCTCTTTCTCTTTGAGTTATCAATATATTTTTATGACCTTAGTTTTGCTATACAACAAACCCACTGCTTAAATCATGAATCAAAACCTCCTATGTGAACCTCGAATGGTATAGGGTTGAAATGCTAATAATGAATTTTTATTGCTTCTAATTCTGACCATCTGTGTCACTTTGGTGTTTGCAGCTTGTTTCCACATTTCTATATGGAAAAGAAAATGAATATTTCTATGCTGCATTATATGCTGGGCTTTACTATGAATCTCAGGTTTGTTATTCATGGCAGCATTTTCTCTTAAATTAACCTCATACTTACTGTTTTGGTCTCATGCTCTTAGTTTGTAGGAATCTTCCTTGAAAGTAAGAGTGTGTGTGCGTGTGTATGTGTGTGTGTGTGTGTGTGTGTGTGTGTGTGTGTGTGTGTGTGTGAGAGAGAGAGAGAGAGAGAGAGAGAGAGAGAGAGAGAGAGAGAGAGAGAGAGAGAGAGAGAGAGAGAGAGAGAGAGAGAGAGAGAGAGAGAG